TAACAGTTGTATGAGCCCCTAATAAAATGTTTAAAAAAAAAAAACCTCAGAAGAAACCCCCAAAACACATAAAAGCTAACAGTAATTTTGAAAAATCTCACACTCAATACATGTAATTCCTGTCATATCAATCTTAAATGTGGCCTGTGGCATGTAGCCTACCTGAGCTAGCTCATCCTAGAGAGATAAAAGGCAAACTGAAAATACCAGAGGTGAATAGAGTAAAAAAAGCACCAGAAACTCACCTCGGGGAAGTAAAGACTGTAAACAGGATGTGTTATCTTTGATTTGGTTTCTAGTAACGCTCTCTCCTTTCGCTGTATGCTCTGTTGTAATTCTTGCCATTCCTAGTGAAGAAAGAATTAAAATATTCAAAACTAAATCTATTTTCAATCATTTCCAGCTCTTATCTTCTTCCACCGAATATTCCGAACAATGTTAACTAGTAAGGGTTAGAACGAGTTAAGCCCCACAGATTAGATAATTTCTCTGCTCAAATCGTCCAGTTTTTATAGATTAGTGTACCCCTTTCAGCACGAACTGCTCAGCCATTCGTGTGCTGACCCTAGCCTACTTCTCCAGTCTGTCACTGGCTTTCCACCTGCCACCTTCTAGTCTAGCCATTTCAAACTCCTTCCCTTATCTGAACTCGCCAAGCTGTTTCACTCCTCCTGAGCTCTAGCTGAACTTGTTTTTCCCTTTCTCAGCCTGGCAAAGAGAATGAGCTAAATTCTAATGTCTGCAGCCGTATGTGAAGTCTGTTGTCAATACCCCTCGACCTCAGGCCTCACATGATTATACTCCCCTTCCTCTTTGCTCTCACTCCACCGAAAAGTATGCACACGAGTATGTATGGCACTGCTTATTTACAAGATTTCCAGCCCCAAGAGCCTACAAAGCAGGCAAGGGCAGAAACTATTTCATAGTGCTTACGGCATGACAGAAATTAATAAGTCTAAAGCAATGAGTCTGTTAAACCCTATCGGTTACTTCTACAAATCCTAACATACTCAAACAAGACTGTGTCAACATGTTCCCACATTTGTACATAGTGGTTATGGAAATAATTTCTCCAAAGCTTTTAATGCCTGAGCAATCAATTTAATGCTTGAAACATTAAACAAACAAAACATGGGCCTACCATTTTACCCACTGCTAAAACCAAAGCCATCCTTCTCTTTTTTCCTCTGTTCCCACTTTTTGGCCTCTCCATCTGCCTCAAGGGTTAATTAGGGACTCTCTCTCTCTCCCCCAAATCGCAAGGGTTCCTTTTAGATCACTAGTGCAGTCAAAAAGAGGTACACCAACAAACACGAAAACTGCTGACCAGATTACAGATCATTTACAGTAAGCCTATGAGGACTACTATTTGCCTATCAAACACATTTTTCTCTACAGTCTTTCCATAGATCACGTGAGACTTCATGCCACTGCGTGGTTATTTTTTCTCACTACACTATGTTGTTAGTGCTCTGTGCTGTTGCGTTGGTTCTACTCATAAACGACCCTATGAAAATCCAAACAAAAACTGCCAGTCCTGCGCAATCCTTACAATCTCTGCAGCCACTGTGTCAGTCCACCTCATGAATCCGATCTTCCCCTTTCCACTGACCCTCTCTCTACCAAGCAGGATGTCCTTTCTGATAACATGTCTAAAACACATGAGACAAAGTCCCGTCGTTCTTGCTTCCAAGGAGCTTTCTGGCTGTACGTCCTCCAAGATTCCTGAGTTCTTTTGGCAGTCCACTGTACCTTCAATAGTTTTTGCCAATACCACAATTCAAATGTATCAATTCTCCTGTGGTCTCCCTTATTCATTGTCCAACTTTCACATGGATAAGAGGCAAACAAAAATACCACGGTTTGAGTCAGGCACACCTTAGTCCTCAAAGTGCTCTTCAAACACTTTAAAGAGGGCTTGTGCAGCAGATCTGCCCAAAACAGGTTGTTTGCTCCTGCTACTTCCAGGAGCACTGATTATGGATTCAAACAAGGTAAAATCCTTGACAACCTCAATCTTTTTTCCATCTACCATGATGTTGCCTATTGGCAAATTGTGAGGAGTTTGGTCTTCTTTACACTGACTTGTATTGTAATCCCTACTGAAGGCTACAGTCCTTGATCTTCATCAGCAAGTGCTTCAAGTTCTCCTCACAGCAAATAAAACTGTTTGCATATTGCAGGTTACTCATAAGCCTTCCTCCAATCCTGAGCCCCATACTTCTTCATATCATCCAGCTTCTCAGATTTAAAAAATATGGTGAAAGGATATAATCTTGACACACACCTTACCTGACTTTAAACTATGCACTATTTCCTGTTCTGTTCAAACTGTTGCCTCTTGATCCATGTACAGGTTCTGCATGCGCAAAGGTAAGCGAACCTGATACCTTTTTCACAACCCACCAATTCTTACTCGAATGCTCACCAACATCTCCAACTCTGAAAAACCCCTTAAGAGACCAAACTGACTTCACCTGAGACCAGCGGTTCTCAACTTGTGGTTTGACCCCTTTGGGCGTCGAACAGCCCTTCCACAGGGGTCGCCCGATTCATCTCAGTAGCAAAATTACAGTGATGAAGTAGCAACGAAATAATTTTGTGGTTGGGGATCACCAAAACATGAGGAACCGTATTAAATGGTCGTGGCATTAGGAAGGTTGAGAACCACTGCCTTAAACCCAGTTTCCACTCCAGCCGCCTATATAAGATCTTAGAAAATTAGGGTTTCCAGCCCTGGTGGTATAGTGAGTTACACGTGGGGCTGAAAACCAACCACAAAGTTTGCAGTTCGAAATCACTAGTTGCTCCTTGAGAGAAAAATTAAGCTTTCTGGTCCCATAAAGAATTAACAGCCTCGGAAACCCAGAGAGGCAGATATACTCTGTTTTATGGGGTTCCTGTGAGTCAGAATTAACTCAACAGCAGTGAGTTTGGGGCTGGTTTTGAAAATTTTTTAATCTTGGTTAGAAACCATTTTTATTTATAGCCCTAGTAATCCTCAAAACAGTCTATACATAAGACTATAATAAGAAGTATTACAGCACTGAGCCATTTTTACTGCCTTATAATTTAATTAACTGTTTATTTCTTATGTTATCTATCTGTATAAATATATATATAATTATTTTTTTAAAAGACGTATTATAAAACAACCCTGGTAATGTTTGAAACAAGCCAACAAACAAGCCACAAAACCTAACACAATCATCAGACATTTAATACAATTATTTAAACCATCTTACTGCTTCATCATCTTTGTTTTGCTTTTCATCTTGCTCTCTGTCGGAGTCTCTGTCACTACCATCATCTTTTTCACTTTGAGAATCTCTATTGGTTTCTTCTTCTTCAGAATCACTGCCTTTGTCAGACATTTCTTCTTCGTCTTCTTTTACTACAGCTTCCTAAAGGGGAAAAAAGAAACCATACAAAGTTTTATGTTAGCTAAGTATATATCCCCTTCTGAGTCCCAAAGCTAACCTATTGTGATTTTAACTAAACTGGCTCATGGTTACAATTTCATTATCCATACAGATTCTCTTTCATTATGAAAATTCCTATATTGATGTTTGTTCTTCATCTATTAATAGTTATTTTATTTTCTAAAATATATTTATTTCTATTTGCAAAGTGCACTACACCACAATGGTTAAGATAGCTCATCTTTCCAAAGTAGCAGTTATACAGTATATCTGTCTTTAGGAAGTTTTCAGAAAAATACTCCTTCAAGAGATTAGAATCATCTTCTATCACTGCCAGAAAATAATGCAATAAAGAAAGCCAAGGCATCAAGCAAAAACATCCCCTCCATCTCAGGAGGAAAGAGAATACCAACTGAAGTGCAAAGAAAAAAGAGGGAAAAGTATCATCAACAACAACAGAAAACAATGACAGAAAAATAAAACCAAAAATTGGGGTTTGAAAAGATGAATAACATCAATAAACCCCTAGGCAAAAGACTGTTCAAGAGATATAAGTAAACACAAATAATCAATGTTTGGAATAAAGACATCCTTATAGACCTAGCAGGCATTAAAAAAAAGAGGATGTTATGAAAAACTTTATGCCAACAAATTTGGCAGATGAACAAATAATATTTACCAAATTAATGCTTGGAAACAGAAAATCTGAATAGTCTTATATATGTTAAAGAAACAGAATCCATAACCAAAACTCTCTTTAGAATTCCAGGACCAAATGGTTTCCCTAGAGAATTCTTCCAAGTAAATCCAACAGGACCAAATGGTTTCCCTAGAGAATTCTTCCAAGTAAATCCAATCACATATACTCTTTCGAGAAAGAGAAAGAACACGTCAAAGAAGCCGAAATAAACCCGGTACAAAACCTGGAGCCTTGCCACTGTGCTCACTGCAGCACTCTTCACGACAGCAACCAGGTCGCAGCAGTGGAAACAACCACCACGGGATGAACGCACACACACAACGGTGACAGACATACAGGGGGACACTACTCAGCCAAGAGGAGGTATGAAATCTTAATATATGCTACAATATCAACAGAGCTGGAAGACATGTGGCTATCAAAGAAACAAATATTGTATAACACCATTTATAATATAAAGAGACCGAGGCAAATGAACTTTAAAAAAATTTATTAGTTACCAGTGGCTGATAATGAAGGAAGGGTGATAAACAGTGATGGAAATACCACATTAATTAAAGAAATGCAGAGTCAAATGTTTGTCTGTCAATAAGTTATACACCTACAAGTTGAACTGGCTCGACCTGTGTGGTAGATACATTTACAACACTAGAGTCACTGTTGAGCATGCTTATGCACAGCCAAACAACTTACTGAATTTGGTTCCTTGGTTTGAAGGTTTAGTGTCATGGTTCCATGTGGGACATTCCCAGTTAACTGATCTAGTAACATGTTTAAGGGTTCTGCTCTACCTCCCAGTTGGGTGTGCTGTGCTTGAGTCTTCAACCGAGTCACAACTGGTATTTATTAACCTGGAGCACTAAAGGAGACTCAGGAATCGGAGGAGGATATGGAATAGGTGACTAAGGACCTCAATGAACAACTGCCCCTTTTTTACCAGGAGACCAGAAGAACTGGGTGATACCCAGCTATCCCTACGGAATATTTTGATCAAACATTCTATGGAAGAATCCTGATCAAAGGGGGGAAATATAGAATAGGAATTTTAAATTCTCATGGAATTCAGACTTTCATGACCCATGGAAGCAGAATGAACCCCTGAAACTGCCGTGAGATAATCTTTAAACTTAAAAACAAAGTAGTTCCTGGATTCTTAAAGCCAAGCAGTCCTTGAGCATAACTAGTCTAGCCTCAGAAGCACAAAGGATGGTTCTACTCTGTCCTAGAGAGTTGCTCGGAGACGAAATCAACCATGGCGGTGAGTGGTGGGGCACTACAAAAGGTCTGCCTTGAGCATTATGCTCTCTAAAAAAAAGTATCTCTATGGAATCAAATTGCTAACAGCAACTTGAAAGATTAGAGAGGAACCTTAGGGGGCAGTGCATTTTTGTAATGAAGACATCAAGTGGGTGAAAATGGTTGCATAACTCAAAGACTATAATCATTGTCACCAAAAGGTAAGGTCCATGCAGAAGCCGTTAAACTGGCGCTAAGTTTTGCTACGTGTATTCTCAACCAAAACTACAATGACAAAAACTGGGGGGCAGGGGCGGGGGGGGGAGTAATATTAGTGGGGGAAAAGCTGGTGAACTTATACTAACATATTTCAAGACATAACCTAAAGCTACAGTAGTTCTGATAAGGTGTTAATGGTACAAGATCAAATGTATCAATGAAATGTAGGCAGACCTGGACAAACTAGTGTATACGTACACACATCATAGTCTCCTGATTTATGAGAAAGATTCCATTTTGATTGAATAAAGAAAGGGTAATTGTGATCGAATGAAATTACTTGTGGCTCTTTTATTAGTCTTTGGGATCATGGAAATAGGGTATGAAACACTAATGGAGGGGTGAGTGGGTATCAGAGTAAGGCATCTCAGAAGCTGGAAGAGGAAATCTTGACACCATGAAGAGAAAAGCTACCACCGGAGCAAAAGCTGTCTGAAGTGGCCAAGGTAGCAGAGGTACCAGGGGCCATAGCACTAAATCCATGGCACAGAGCAGAGAACAGCACCAAGACACTGAGGTAGACGGGCTTGCTTCCAAGTGCAAGGAACGAGGAAGAGGCCACAGGACCAGGTGAGGACTAGAGCTATGTGGCTGCTGGCAGAGCTAGGAAGAGGCACTGCTGTGGACAAGGAGTATATTTTAAGTATTTTCTAATCCTGACTTGTGATAACCTATCAATTCCTTAATAAACCCTCTAATCAAGGCTACTGTCTGTTGAATTCTGTGTGGCCACTGCAATGAGTTATCAAATCCAGCGGAAAAGTAAACTGTTGAGAGAAGAACGGTTGGTGTCAGAACACAATTATGAAGAATGCACAGTAGATGCGAGTCTGACCCCTGCCTGTGGCAACTGAAGTTGGACTCTCTTCCCCCCCAAACTGCAGGTGGTCAGGCATGGAGCCCCATGACATTTCCTCAAGGAGTTTTTTCAATAACGGTATGAAAACAAATAGTTCATATCCTTTACCTCGTATTACTCACAAAAATTAATTCAATAGGAATCATACAGTTCATCAGAAAAAATAAAACGTTAATACTCTAGAGCAGCAGTTCTCAACCTGAGTCACTACCTCTTTGGGGGATCGAATGACCCTTTCACAGGGTCACCGGATTCATAACAGTAGTAAAATTACAGTTATGAAGTAGCAACAAAAATAATTTTATGGTTGGGGTTCACCACAACATGAGGAACTGTATGAAAGGGTCGCAGCATTAGGAAGGTTGAGAACCACTGCTCTAGAGAAAGAGAAAAAAATCTTTATGTCCTTAAACAGAAATACCTCAAATGACACAAACAGCACTTAATTATAAAAGAAAAGACTGACAGAACAGATTTCATTGAAAATATGAACTATCAAAAGACACCGGAGTAAAAACTAAGGATCCATACAAAGTATGTCAGGGATGGCCACAAATCATTAAGAAGATAATCCATTAA